CGATCATGTGTCTCGAGCATCCACTATCAAGGTACCATGAATTTGAATTTGTTTCCCGTTCCTTGTAGCAATGCTCCTTTTCCTACAAACATGGATTAATTACAAATTTCTGGTACCCAAATTATTTTGGGTCCATATTCATTTGTTTCCAAAATCCTAGTCCCCTTAGGTATCCATTTGTGTAGGATATCTTTATCTTTAGTAGTAATGAATCCTTTAGGAACCCATATACTTCTAACGATTTTTCTATTAGAGGTTCTTCGGGGACATCTATGATTGTAGTTTTTAAAACTTTTTCTAACAAAGTTGGATTTTGAATTTTCTCATTTTTCAAAACGTTTGTTCTTTCAAAAGAGCTTTAAGATCATCAATTTTCTTTTGATGATCATTATTGACCTTTGAAAGTAAATTTTGCAAATCCGAATTTTTCTTTTCAAACTCTTCTAGTTTGATTTTCAAATCTTTGATTTTACTTTCAAGATCTTTGTTGGTTTTGGATATGAGTTTATTTTCATTTTTCAATTTTGAACATCATTTTTATATTTTAAACAATTTCTCATAATCCAAAGCCAACCCATTATATTCCTCTAATAGTTCATCATAAGATAAATCATCAAATTTAGATGAGTTAGAGGTTACCTTAGAATCTTCCCCGAATGCCATCAAGCACAAGTTTGCTACTCCTTGTTCCTCTTCATCGAAACCTTATTCATCGCTCCATGTAGCCACATGAGCCTTGTGCTTATTCTTTGATTGACCCTTTCTCTTCAATTATGGGTAATCATATTTGACATTCATCGACTTTTTGCATTCATAACAAATGATCGGGTTCTTCTTTTTTGGTTCATTTTTGAGACCTTCATTTCGTTTAAATTTTCGTCCTCGGTAAGGACCTATCATTTTTCTGAACCGTTTGGCAAACTTTCTTCTTCTCCTTCTCCTTTGGTGTCTCTTCAATCTTATCAAGGTCCACCTCATCTTCAAGCATCATTTCATGAGTGAGGAGGGAACCGATTAGCTCTTCAAGAGTTAAGGACTTTAGGTTCTTAGCCTCGATGATTGCAGTCTTCTTGGATTTCCATGATTTTGGAAGTGAGTAAACTAACTTCCTCACAAGCTTTTCGTTTGGAATGATCTCTCCATATGATTTGAGACCATTGAGAATCTATCCATTATAGCTTTGATATCTTCATTTGGTTTCATCCTGAAATTTTCATAGCTATGTGTTAGAAGACTAATTTTAAATTCTTTTACCTCGTCGGTGCCTTCATGAGTGACTTGTAGTTTATCCCATATTTCTTTGGCGGTTGTACAAGATGAAACTCTTCCATATTCATCTGGTCCAAGAGCACAAAATATAATATGGATGGCTTTGGAGTTGAGCTGGAACATTTTCGTCTCTCCTTCGCTCCATAATCTTGGATGAGTGAGAAGCTTGATATATCCATCTTCTACAACATTCCATGCTCCCATGTCACTTGCTTGAATAAAATACATCATCCTATTCTTCCAATAGGCATAATTAGCACCATTGAAGAAAAGAGGCTTGTTGACGGGCATTTAATCGAGACTGGAGTCGAAGTTTGAAGTGGAGGCCATTGATGACTTGATAATCGATGTAAATCTTCCCGAATTGACACAAGAGGAGATTAAACCTTCAAATGAGTTAGGCTCTGATGCCAATTGCTGAGTTAATCGATCGACGAAATCAGCCAAGAGGGGGTGAATTGGTAATTAAAATTTTTGTGGAAGCTTTTGCAGAAAATTGAAAGTAATTGCACAACAATTTAGAGTGGTTCGACTTTCTCAATCAAAGTCTACGTCCACTACCTTAGCTATCCACACTAAGGATATTCCAACAAATTCACTAATTTGTTCTTTCTTTTGAGGCCAAAGAGATAACCTTACAACTCCTTCAAGAATATACCCCAATTCTTGAGAACACTCTTTCTCAAAGAGAAGATTACAAATTTGCAAACTTACAAGGAAATCCTCACAAGGAAAGATGTTTGCACAATTCTAGAACAATGAAAAGAACACTTAAAGATGAATACAATTGAGTACAAGTAGTGTTCTTGAAAGTAAAGATGAATATTGAATGAAAAATGGATTGAATTGCTCAAACTTGAGGTTTGATGCTTTCTCTTTGATTCTCTCTTGATTCTTGATAAAAATGTTATTGATCAAAGACTTCTAAGCTTGTTTAAATACTCCTTGAATCACTTCTGAACGTTGAGGATCATTGATGAAGTTATTAGAGCCGTTTAAGTGTGAAAACAATTAATATTTCTGCTTGGAGCGTGGGGGGAATCGATACCCCCTCATAGGGAATCGATTCCCTAAGTGTAAAATTTAAATATTTCGACCGTTGAACAGGGGGAATCGATACCCCTTAGGGGAATCGGTTCCCTCCGAGCATTATGTTTTTCTCGGAGCCAAACCATTCAGGGGAATCGGTACCCCCTTGGGGGGGATCGATTTTCTCTGGACATTCTGGAATTTTTGGCTTTGAAACGGTTCGAAATACTTTGTAAAATTATTTCAAAAATGACTTTTGAAAGATTTGGAGTAATATTTTGATATTCGAATAATTATATCGAATATACTTAGAAAATCTTTTTGGAAAATCTTAAAATTCATTTATCTTAATTTGTTATATCGAAATATCAAAATGGTTTCAACAGACGTCCTTTTCAGATTTTCATCTTGAACCATCCTTTTATTTAATTTTTCTTCTTTTTTCTTTTCTTTTCTTTTCTTTTTTTCTCTTTTTCTTTTTCTTTTTCTTTCTTTTTCTTTTTCCTGTTTCTTCTTCTTCTTTTTTCAGGCAAAATATCTCTTAATCACATCGAAGTTCACTGGGTAGGGTAATTTTGGCCCATCCATCTTTGTAAGGATCAGGGCTCCTCCAGAAAAAGCTTTCTTCACAACATAAGGTCCTTCTCAGTTTGGCATCAATTTACCTCATAAATCCTTTTGAATAGGTAGGATCATTCTATGCACCAGATCTCCTTCGTGGAACTCTCAGAGGTGAATTTTCTTATCGTGTGCTCGTATCATGCGCTTCTGGTACATCTGACCATGATAAATAGCTTTCAATATATTTTCTTCAATCAAATTCAATTGCTCATATCTAGCTTGTACCCATTCTGCCTCATCTAACTTCACCTCTGACAAAACTCGAAGTGAGAGAATTTCTACCTCAATGGGTAGGACAGCTTCCATCCATATGCTAAAGAAAATGGAGTTTCCCCAGTCATCGTCCGTACTGATGTTCGATAAGCCAACAGAGCAAATGGAAATTTCTCATACCAGTCCTTATAAGTCTCAGTCATCTTCTCTATAAGTCTTTTGATGTTCTTATTAGCCGCCTCTACTACTCCATTCATCTTCGGACGATAAGTGGTTGAATTATGATGCTTTATTTTGAACTGCTCACAGATTGATTTCATTATCTTATTGTTTAGATTCAATGCATTGTCAGAGATAATCCTCTCTGGTAAGTCATATGGACAGATGATTTCCTTTTTTAGGAATTTATAGACTGTTGACTGAGTGACGTTTGCATAAGAAGCCGCTTCTACCCATTTTGTAAAGTAGTCTATTGCTACCAAAATGAAGTGATGGCCATTTGAAGCCTTGGGCGAAATTTATCTAATAACATCCATTCCCCATATAGAGAATGGCCACGGATTTGTCATCATGTGCAACAGATGAGGAGGGGTATGTATCCTATCTCCATAGATATGACACTTGTGACATTTTCGGGCATAATTGATACAATCAATTTCCATGATTGACCAATAGTATCCAAACCTTATAATTTGTGTAGCCATTGCATGTCCATTGGCATGGGTACCACATACTTATTCATGCACCTCTTCGAAAAATGTTTTAGCTTTTCTGGTGTCCATGCACCTCAATAGAACCTGATCCTGGCTTTTCTTGTGTAGGATCTCACCATTGAGTACATACTCTGATGCCATTCTTCTAATAGTTTTCTTTTCATTTTCGGTCGCCTGCTCGGGATAACTTTGATATATGATGTATTACAAGATATCATAATACGAGGGGCTTCAATCTTATTCTTCCTCAATATTAAAGCAATAGGTTGGATACTCATAAGCATGCATTTCAATGGGCATCTATTCGAGTGATCATCTGCCTTGAATGCTACTGCCAAAGTGTGGCCAAGTCATCTACCATTTGATTCTCTTCTTTGGGGAGGTAACTGAAGGCTACTTCTCAAATTCTTGTATAAGTTCTATGACCAATTTACAGTATTCTATGAGCTTGGGATCTTTTGTCTCCCATTCTCCCCTGAGTTGGTAAATTACCAAACCTAAATCTCCCATATACTTTGAGCATTTTTACTTTACATTTGACGGTAGCTCTAAGACCTAGAACACAAGCCTCATACTCAGCCATGTTGTTTCTGCAATCAAAATTGAGTCGAATGGTGAAATGATAATGCTCTCTATTTGGTGAGACCAAGATTGCCCCAATCCCATGCTCTAAGGCATTTGAAGCACCATCAAAGTTTAACTTTCAATGTTTACCGATGGATGTAACTATTTTTTCCACTAAATAGCCATTATATCTTCGTTTGGGAAATCAGAGCTCAGTGGCACATATTCTTCAGAAGCCATACTTGCAATAAATTATTCTATGGCACTCCCTTTAACTGCTTTCTGGCTTACATAATGGATATCAAACTCTGACAACAGGATCTGCCAACGAGCTAATCTTCCAGATAGTACAGGTACACCCATCAAATACTTCAAAGGATCAAATTTGGATATAAGCCAAGTTGTGTGATATAGCATATACTGTCTGAGCCTTCGAGTAGCCCATACCAAAGTACGACACAATTTTTTTGATTAGCGGGTATATGGCCTCGCATTTAGTGAACTTCTTACTGAGTTTTCACAAACTGACAAGTAAAGAATTAGGAGTTTGCCCGAGATGGGTGGTACTAAGATTAGGGTACTTGATAAATATCACTTAACTGCTTCGAAAGCTTCTTGGAAATCATCACTCCATGCCCTTGAGTTATTCTTGCGGAGGAGGTAAAAAATAGGATCACATTTCTCAGTCAACTGCGAGATAATCAAGCTATATAATTCAGTCTCCCCAAGAATCCTCAAACCTCTTTTTGTGTTCATGGGGGTGGTAAATCTTGAATGTCTTTGACTTTATCTGGATCTATTTCAATTCCTTTTTTTCTCTGTACAAATCCCAATAGCTTCCCTGATGTCACCCCAAATATACCCTTACTTGGATTAAGTTTCAGCTAGCATTTCCTTAATCCTCGAAAAAGCTTTCTTAAATTCTCGACGTGTTCTTCTTCTGTCTTGGCTTTAAAAATCCTATCATTGGTATAAACTTCTATTTCTTTATTCATCATGTCATGAAATAATGTTACCATGGCCATTTTATATTTCGCTCCTTCATTCTTCAGCCTAAAGACATCACTTTATAGTAAAACGTCCCCCACATAGTGACAGACATTGTTTTTTCCATATACCCAGAGAGCATTTTAATTTGATTGTAGTCGGAGAAACCATCCATGAATGAGAACACGGAATTTCCAGCAGTGTTATCTACCAAGGTGTCTATGTGTGGCAAAGGAAAATTATCTTTCGGATTGGCTTTATTGAGATCTCTGTAGTCAACACATATACGGATTTTCCCATCATTCTTTAGTACTGGGACAATATTTGCTACCCACTCAGGGTACTTGCCCACTTTAAGAAACCCGTCATCTAATTGTTTCTTCACTTCTACTTTAACTTTTAGTGGTATCTCGACTCTCATCATTCTCAGCTTTTGTTGTACAGGCTTAAACTCAGGCTTTATTGGCAATCTGTGTACCACCAACTATGTATCCAAACTTGGCATGTCTTCATATAACCAAGAAAATATGTCTTTTTATTCTTGAAGCAATTCAATCAAACTCTGTCATCCTTCAACAGATAAAGTAGTGTCAATCTTTACTTATTTCTTATCATCATCTGACCCCAAATTTATATCTCAACAAGATTCTCATGAGGCAAAATCTACTTATCCTCTCTTTCCACCATTTTTAGCATATTAGAAGGTAAGCCATATCCCTCAACATCATCACAATCCTTGACTTTCCCATGACAAATAGGCAACTCGAAATCAATTTACGGGTCAGTTTCATCAGCATTAATGTTATTGATATACGAGGTCCTCAAAGAATAACAAACGAGAGTATATATACATACAGTCATATGGGAGAATCTTATCCCATATCAAGATAAATAGAAAGAAATAATACATACATATAACAAAGAATTAAAAAAAATGCATGGAAGAATGTTTGCCATTTTGAATTAATAGGGAAGCATCTTTCATTGAAAGTAAGAAAAACATATAGTTTAACCCTTTACATAAAATCACCTATTGTCCCAGGGTATAAGCAATAAGGAAAGTTCTCCTGTATTACTTTGAAAAAGACTTGAAAACTACAGGTAAATCCTCCGCAGTCCAATTATTCAACATAAAGTCTGGTGGTGCGGGGTAGATGCTCATAGCTCTCCCTTCTTCAGATTCATCTTCCAATATGGCATTGATGCCCAGTTCTCTCAAGAAATTCTCAACAATCAACTTCTTATCTTGCTGACTCCCTTGAAACATATGTCCTCTGGACACAAACGTGTTATTCAAGGGTGGGAATGTCATTGGCTCCAGGCTAAGGTCTTCTCTGACTAGCCTTGTTTTCCTCATTTTCCGGTTCTTCCTGATGCCTCTCAGTTTTTCCCTTAGAGTTGACAGATATCACAAGCCAAAACGGTCTCTCTTAGTGATAGAGAAAAATGGATTAATCGGTCCCTGTAAGTGACTCCCTAACCCTCTTTCGACTTTTTCTCCTCTCCCCAATGTTAGTTTAAGCTCCATTCTAGCGCAATTTCAAAGTCTGAGCATGGGTATCTTCTTGCCTTCGATCATGAATGTGGCATTAACAAACTCCAATGATCTAAAAGAGCATTCAATAGCTTTCTCATCCACTTCAACATGCGGAGCAGTGGTGGAGACAGAAGCGATGATGTTTTCTTCAGCATTAACACATATCAGCCTTCTATCGATTACAAACTTTAACTTTTGGTATAGTGTGGATGGAACTGCCCTTGCTTGATGAATCCAAGGCCTCCCCAGTAAGCATTTGTAAGTGGGCATGATATCCATCACAAGGAATTCCACCTCATGCATTGCTTGGCCAATAGTTAAAGGAATATCGATCTTCCCTAGCACCTCCCTTTTGGTTCCATCAAAAGCTCAGACTGTTAGAGTATGCCCAAAGACCAATAATATGATGATTGTAATAATATATTTATTTACCAATTTTATTGAATAAAGGCATTGCCACTATTATTTTCAGTTATGTGTTTGTGTTTAACATAAACTAAAAGATAATAAAGTCCATATAATAGCATTATTAAAAGATCCATAGTCAAGTATTATTAATGGGCCCGGACAATAATAATATGCTTAAGACTAACATGGTATTGATTGATGACAAGGAGTTTTCATTGACATAGAGATGTCAGAATTCATACATGATTATATTGTTAGAGAATAATGTATTGGATTGACCCATCATGACCATATGTCTTGGATTATTATGTAACGGTAATAACATTGCTCATGGTGATGACTATATGTATGATCCTCAGACTTGAGATCAATGTCATCCCAACATATATTGTTGTATGTTTTGATACAGTTAAACATGCGCCGTAACTAATTACACTATAAAGATTGTTATTGAATATATTTATATATATGTAGTGGGGTGTATATGGTTAAGATAGGATTTGTCCTTCATACATAATAGGAAATATATCACAGGTCACTTGATTGAGTGAGACTAGAAAGGCATGGCCATGCTTGAATAATTTGATATGTGATATCATATTCGTTAATTAGAGTCTACTCTAGATATCAAAAAAACAATAGATGGGCTATACAAGTGTGACTATTATAAGACTTGTGCCTATTCTAGATATAAATGACAAAAGGATGTAATACATAAAAGAGTTAATCACGAAGATGATATGTCGAATCATAATTTCTTGTAACTTAGGTGACAATGATATATTGCTAGATGTCACTCATTGTATGTAATATTAGAATTGTTCTAATAATTACTACTAACGTTACAAGAACCTACAGAGTCACACCCTAGGATTGAAATGAGCAAAAATGTACAATTTGTTGTATGTTACTAAAATATATCTAGAGTTATGATATGTATATTTGATATACATACGATTTTAATTATCTTGAATATACTAAGTAAGCATTAAAAAATGTAATTTAGATTACAACTCTTTTAATTGGTATATATAATTTGGAATAATTAAATAAGTTTATAAATAAACATTAAATATTATAATTCAGATCATAAGTCTTTAATGTATATTTAATTGAATTAATTAAATAATATTTTATTATTAATTTGAAATAACTTTGAAAACCCTAAAATGTTAGGGTAATTGATATAAAAGGGTGTGTTAGGTCTAGCAGCCGTTTTTAACACACACATAACCCTTCAGCCATTTTTCTCTCAAAACTGTTTTGGGGAAAACAAATATTGCTCTAAATCGGGTGAACTGAGTAAAGGCCGAGACGTGATTTTATGGAGGCTTACGATTCGAACCGATCTACACCACCAATATTCACTGTTGTTCTTGTTGTTTTTTAAGGAACCCGCTGTAAGTATTCGCATACATTCTTCCCGATTTCGGTTTTACGTACATGGATCGCTGGTGAGACCGTCGAGTTTTGTTTTCGCTATGTCGTGGGGTGTGTCGACGGTCCCAACAGTGGTATCAGAGCCACTTGTACGACCCAAATTGGGGTTAAATTCTTGGATGATGAGATATGTATGAGATGCATGTTCTAGTTTTATCGATTTTGGTAAATATGTTGATATCATTATTAGAATCGATAACCACAACAATTAATATGTTAATTTTTTAATATATTTTTCAATCGATTTGTTGCTGCTAGGATTTCACGAAATCCATATGTCAATCGTTGACATGATGATCCGTGGGAGTGCGATAGCATATCGTGTTTGGTAGTGGAAAAAAGGTTGTTCCGATGCAGAAAACCTTCGGGATTGAAAATCCAAAAAGCACGATTTTGTTGATAAATGTTATCAAATCGTGAGGTTTTTCTATAGAAACGTAAGTACTATTTTTCAAAAAAGTCCCTAGACCTCACAAGGGGCTTCGTCCCTTGAACACTCATCAGTAGTACAAATTGAAAGCCCATATTTTTTTAACAAAAGCGTAAGAACGTGTATATATATATGAGATGTTTGTTTTGCACGGTGTTTGACATGCATGGTTATAGCCCTTGTTCACTTTATAATGGTTTAATTTGAAATACGGTCTGCGAGTCGTGTCTTTCTATATCTCTGTTGTATTTCTCTTCTCGTCTTACTCCCTCGTATGTAAAACGAGTTTCTTTTAAAATTGTAAACCTATAAAGATTCACAAGGAGTAGAAGAAAGGTGAGAAGATACCTAGAGAGAAGTCTTAGGCTTTAGGGTTTTTGGTTCTCCCATTGGCTTGGGATGGGTCACCTTAATCATTATTTTGGGCTATAATCATTGCCTCTTATTTATTGTTATATTTGTTATGTATGCAATGCATCAAATGATAATATAAAAATGAATATTGATGAGATCAATAAGGGCCTAATCTTAAAACAAACAATGATGAGATAATTACGCAAATCCCTCTTTATAATCTAAGTTAACTTAACCGTCCAATATTTACCCCTGTTAAGGCTTCGATTGATATTGTGTGGGCTTTACTAAAGCATTGGCACGTAAATCTATCTTGGTTAAATGCGAAGAATAAGCAAGTGATATTCACCGGTTGAAATATTGGTAATAACTTAGCTAGGTTATTCTAATAGGATTAGAAACCTAGAGGTTAAATATTTGGATAAGTCATGAGATGACTTGAACAAAAGTTGTTCACCAAAATGAGAAGTTACATGAGAAGTAACTAATAAAGTGTTACTTACCTAAATAATCAATATCCTAAAAGAAAAGCCAAAGCTGATTTAGGTAATTGATGTATTATAGATCCTCATCTACTAAAAAAATTTTCGTTGAATTTTTTCGAAATTAAAACAGAGAGGGTTTTTAATTTTTAATAAAATAGTGGGAATAATTTGTAAATAAAGTCCTATTTATAAATTTTAATTCGGTAAATTTATTTACTTTAATATTTCCATTGTTGTAGATTTAATGGCAAACAACACTTTATCACTGCGATCACTCCTTGAGAAGAATAAACTTAATGGCATAAACTTCCTTGACTGGTTTCGTAATTTGAGAATTATTCTCAAACAGGAAAAGAATGAATATAACATTGAGGAACATGTTCTTGATGAACCGGTAGCTAATGCTTCAAGAGCTGATAAAGACAAATTCAAGACACATATGTATGATATGTTAGATGTTGGATGTCTAATGCTTGCCACCATGACTCCTGAGCTTTAGAAGCAACATGCACGCCGTGGGGTGCGCCGACGGTCCCAACACAGACAACGCTCTGGCTATTTCTCATGAGTGTATTGTCGACTGGTAGTTTCTTCAAGGTCACTAATGGCATCACATTTAAAGCAGAGCCATTATCATCTAACACTCGAGATAGAATATGTCATTTTCACTTTACCGTGATGTATATGGCTTTATAGTTACCGATCATCCCAGAGGGGATCTCATCCTCATAAAAATAAAGGAAGTTGTCAGCCTGTATATTTGCAACCAACCTATTCAACTTGTCTACGGGCAACTCATTCGGTACAAAAGTCTAATTCAAAACTTTCAGTAAGGCATTTCGATGTGCCTCGAAGCTCAATAAGAGTACCAATACTGAGATACGGGCCTACAACTTGTGCAACTGCTCAACAATACTATACTCGCTGCTCAATAAGAATTCCACAACTTCACTCTCAATTACTGGCTTGTTGATGACAATTTCATATTCTCTTAACTTCAAGTCAACATTCTTTCCTTTGTCGGTGGTAGCTTTCTTCACATGCTCTTTAGATTGGTTAAGAGAGTAATATCTTTCACTTCTAGTAAAATGTCCAACCTCATCAACTTCTTTATTTTATTTTACTATCTCTTCCATCTTACAGTCATATTTCCATGGTATATGCTTGTTATATTTATACGGGAACGGGGATGGAGGTGTGATGACCACTTTCGGAGCTATTTTCTATGATATGGGAGTCATTGGTGTAATAATTATAGGACAATTACCATTGCAAACCTCTCTAGACGAACCCTCAGAGTCACAAATTTCCACTTCCTCTTCTTCTGCTGCTTTTTTAAAAAACTCCATCTCTTTATCATCCATCATCTTTTGTACAGAACTCGAAAATCTGGGCACTTTTGTATAGTATGTCCTTCGCAACTATAGTAATGGCATGTATTTCCACTGTTGAGTTGTTCAGTTGACAGATTGGGTATCAATAGATCGACCTTGATCATTTGACCCCACACCTAATGCATAAGTGATTCCACCTCACTAACTTTCGTTATAATTTTTTCCCTTCCACTCAGTAACTGCATTGATTCCCATACCTACGTGGTTTGGTAGTGGGTTTTGGGCCACATTTGGCTTGTCACTGTCACTAAAATTGATGACGTTCTTTGTTCTAACGCTTTGGATGACATTATTGAATGTAGTGTAACT